ACACACACACACACATACACACACACACACACATATATATATATATATATGTACACACACACACACACATATATATATATATATGTACACACACACACACATACATACATACATACACACACACACACACACTACATATATATATATATATACTATAATACATACAAACACACACACACACGTATATATATATATATATATATATAAATATATATAAACACGGCTATGCAACAATGCACACTAACATACACCAATACCCCCCGACGCGCACTACTACAGGAGCATACAGGCGCAGGCATGGGCGACTCTTTCACAATCAACATCCCACTGCCCCCAGGAAGTGGTAGTGGGGCGTATGCGTATGCAATAGAGACCATTGTGGTCCCTAGTATTAAAAGATTTAGGCCCGAGCTGATCATGGTGAGCGCTCAATGGCTAGGTGTTGCTGTAAGCGGCGGGTGTGTATAGTGTGTGACATGTTGTATTTGAATGTGAGTGCGTGACAATAGGCTGTGACTATTAGGGTTAGTAGGTATCAACCAAGCTTCAGACTCGAGGACTACACACTCGGGTTGGGCTGTGGGTTATACATGCACCATCGGTTATAGGTATTTGGGGAAGTCTACTCTGACAAATAAGTTGATGTCTTTAGCCGTACTTGTTCCAACATACGAATACACATCATGTACGGATACATGTGATGTATGAATACATGTGATGTACGAATACATGTGATGTATGAATACAAGTAGTGTACGAATACATGTAATGTACGAATGAATACATGTATTGTATATGTACCAATATATATCAAGTCCGAATACATGTGATGTATGAATACATGAGATGTATGAATACATGAGATGTATGAATACATGTGATGTACGAATATATGTAATTTATGGATTTCTGCATTTGTCTGCCTTACGAGTGCTTTATACTTCCAAAGTCGATATTGGGCCAACGTCCTAGACACACAATCACGCGCACATTGTAAAGACTATTCACGCGCACATTGTAAAGACTAATTCTCTTATGGAGTGTACTAGGGGTTGGTCGTGACTCGTTTTTAGTACGTATACAAAGAAAAAGACCAATTCTCGTACTGAGTGTCTAGGTAGTCCACGTACAGTGTGTGTGCTAGGAGTGGCCCTCACTTGTGTGGCACACGTGTTTCCGACCGCTTCTTGACCCACCCCACCACACACTACTCCTTCGCTGTACGCAGGTGTCCAATGGGTTCGATGCGTCTGCGATGGACCCACTGGGGCGGATGATGCTGAGCAGGTACATTCATATAGCGTAGTTGACTCTTCCTATAGTTCGGTACTAAACTCTTGGGTGTTGGTGTTGAGTGTTGTGGGTATCACATCTTTCTTTCCCGTATTTCCATTGACCCACTGGGGCGGATGATGCTGAGCAGGTACATTCATAAAGCGTAGTTGACTCTTCCTATAGTTCGGTACTATGCTCCTGGGTGTTGAGTGTTGTGGGTATCACATCTTTCTTTCCTGTGTTCCCATTGACCCACTGGGGCGGATGATGCTGAGCAGATACATTCATAAAGGGTAGTTGACTCTTCCTATAGTTCGGTACTAAGCTCTCGGGTGTTGAGTGTTGTGGGTATCACATCTTCCTTTCCTGTGCTCCCATTGACCCACTGGGGCGGATGATGCTGAGCAGATACATTCATAAAGGGTAGTTGACTCTTCCTATAGTTCGGTACTAAGCTCCTGGGTGTTGGTGTTGAGTGTTGTGGGTATCACATCTTTCTTTCCTGTGTTTCCATTCAAGCATTCTCAATCCACACTCACACTCTTCATGAACACGCATGATCTTTTGTTGCCTACAGCTCTGACTTCTACAACATGGCGGCTCATATGGTGCTGCTGTCGCAGGAAGTGTGCGGTGGCAAACTGATGCTCGTCCACGAGGGAGGTTACAACCCTGCAGCTACCCCCTACTGCGGGTTAAAGGTATTCGCTTAACATTCATCGTTGCCATCTGATACGCATGGTTGATGGTGTCTGTTGTTGCTTTTCAATTGCAAGATACATGTGGTATGTTTGTTGTAGTTTAAGACAGATGTCGTTGTAATTCAAGTCATACGATGTTGTAGTTTAAGTCATACGTTGTTGTAGTTTAAGTCATACGTTGTTGTAGTTTAATTCATAAGTTGTTGTAGTTTTAGTCATACGATGTTGTGGTTTAAGTCATACGTTGTTACATTTTAGGTCATACGTTGTTGTAGTTTAAGCCATACTAAGTTACATTTTAAGTCATACGTTGTTGTAGTTTAAATCATACGTTGTTGTAGTTTTAAGCCATACTAAGTTACATTTTAAGTCATACGTTGTTGTAGTTTAAATCATACGTTGTTGTAGTTTTAAGTCATACGTTGTTGTAGTTTAGGTCATACGATGTGGTTTTAATCATACAATGTTGTGGTTTAAGTCATACGTTGTTGCAGTTTAAGTCATACGTTGTTATAGTTTAAGCCGTACGATGTTGTTGTTTAAGCCATACGATGTTGTAGCTTAAGTCATACGTTCTTGTATTTCAAGTCATACGTCGTTGTAGTTTAAGTCATTTGTTGGTTTAGTTTCAATCGTACGCTGGTTTAGTTTAAGTCATACGTTCTTGTGGTTTAAATCATACATTGGTTTAGTTTCAATCATACGCTGGTTCAGTTTTAGTCATACGATGTTGTGGTTTAAGTCAAACGTTGTTGTATTTCAAGTCATACGTTGTTGTAGTTTAAGTCATAAGTTGTTGTAGTTTTAGTCATACGATGTTGTGGTTTAAGTCATGCGTTGTTACATTTAAAGTCATACGTTGTTGTAGTTTAAGTCATACGTTGTTACATTTTAAGTCGTACGTTGTTGTAGTTTAAGCCATACGGTGTTACATTTTAAGTCATACGCTGGTTTAGTTTTAGTCGTACGATGTTGTAGTTCAAGTCATACGATGTGGTTTAAGTCATACGATGTTGTGGTTTAAGTCATACGTTGTTACATTTTAAGTCATACGTTGTTGTAGTTTAAGCCATACGATGTTACATTTTAAGTCATACTATGTTGTGGTTTAAGTCATACGTTGTTGTAGTTTAAGTCATACGTTGTAGTAGTTTAAGTCATACGTTGTTGTAGTTTTAAGTCATACGTTGTTCTAGTTTAAGTCATACGTTGCTGTAGTTTAAGTCATAAGTTGTTGTAGTTTTAGTCATACGTTGTTGTGGTTTAAGTCATACGTTGTTGTAGTTTAAGTCATACGTTGCTGTAGTTCAAGTCATACGTTGTTGTAGTGTAAGTCACACGTTGTTGTAGTTTAAGTCATACGATGTTGTGGTTTAAGTCATAGGTTGTTGTAGTGTAAGTCACACGTTGTTGCAGTTTAAGTCATACGATGTTGTGGTTTAAGTCATAGGTTGTTGTAGTTTAAGTCATACGTTGTTATAGTATAAGTCATATGTTGTTGTAGTTTTAGTCATATGATGTTGTGGTTTAAGTCATACGTTGTTGTGTTTCAAGTCGTACGTTGTTGTAGTTTAAGCCATACGTTGTTGTAGTTTAAGTCATACGTTGTTGTAGTTTAAGTCATAAGTTGTTGTAGTTTTAGTCATACGATATTATATTTTAAGTCATACGTTGTTGTAGTGTAAGTCATACGTTGTTGTAGTGTAAGTCACACGTTGTTGTAGTTTAAGTCATACGATGTTGTGGTTTAAGTCATAGGTTGTTGTAGTTTAAGTCATACGTTGTTATAGTATAAGTCATATGTTGTTGTAGTTTAAGTCGTACGATGTTGTGGTTTAAGTCATAGGTTGTTGTAGTTTAAGTCATACGTTGTTATAGTATAAGTCATATGTT